AAATTCTGAATAGTTATATAAGAGTTCGTTAAGAACAAGTCTGTGAAAAAAGACAACCTTTATCAAATGAAGCAGAAGAGCTAAAGACTGCATATCTTCTTCAAGGAAGGCTTAAATGTTGAACGGCAGTCCAGCTTTGATTGGCCATAAAGACGTTTGCTTACACGAAAGCAACTGTGCAATGCAGTGGTAAAAGAGAATGGCTTCTAGTCTGTATTTGTATTTATTTTTTAATGATATGAACTTTTGATTTAGTTTTATGCTTGTAGAATGTATATTACATGATATGCCTTGAATCTAACGGTTTATGCTGCACAGATCTAATTTGAGGAAGTAATGTTTCGTTCAAAGCGTACCTTTGAAGAGTATCAGCACTTGCTTGAAAACGAAGGCGGATCTCCAAACGACTTTACTATGCATGATAGAGATGAAACTTATAGTGAAGAGGATAATCACTTTTGGCATCTGTCTGTTTATACTTAGGTATCATTTTTTTTTTTTGCATAATTCTTATATGATAGAGATTTAATTCAAAGTTTTTTGGACTTTGCAGGTGTCGAACAAAGATAATAACACAAGAAAAGATGGTAAAGCTTTTTTATAAACTGAAGTCAGGCTTATGCATAAGAGAGCAGAAGATTAATTTATTTTGGCATGAGTGATCCTGCACCAGTTTGAAAACAAACATAACCATTCTTTATTATGTGAGAATATGGTGAAGATCAACACTGTGGTTGGAGAACATATTATAGAATACTGAATATATATTGCATTCCTTTTTAATTTTGAACTCATTTGTTTTGACTCTAGATTTTTGATATACTACCCAAGGAGGTACTTATAATTTGATGATGCATAGCTTTTTATATGCAAGATTAGTAAGTTAATTTAATTTAAACTTTGATTGTCTTGATTTTTAATATATATATATATATATGTGTGTGTGTGTGTGTGTGTGTATTTATATATATATATATATATATATATATATATATATATATATATATATATATATATATTTTCAAACAAATAAAAATTGCCGCATTTACATGTGCGGTGCGTTGGAAACACATATAAATGTCGCAAAAGACAAAATTAGCAACACTTACAAGTGTGCTTAACGTATTCATTTTGCCACACTTATTTTATGTGTCGTAAATTTTTCCCCACACTTTTAGCCGCCACACTTAGCTCATGTGTGGCGAACACTCTTTGCCGCACTTATATATGTTGCGAAGAGCAATTTTAAGTGTGGCAAAAGACATAATTTCTTGTAATGATGGTGTGTTCGCATCCGCACATGGGCAGATATTATCTAGAGATAATAGGATGCCGGACTGACCCATCCTAAAGATGTTGCTTGAACTTTTAGTTCATGCTCTAAGCATCTTTAGCGCGACCACGGGTGTAACTATCCTTCGACTTGAAATATTACGTTTTCTGCATATGTGAACCCGCATGCTTTGATGCATTGTCCTAAGCCATATGAAATAAGGATGGTATACAGGCTTTGTTTTGGGTATGCCGCAGCGCATATTCAGAAACGTAGATTACGTACATAGGATTTGTCACTATTTTTTTTAAAGAGATTAATGTCTTATGGGGCCCACTGATAAGTTATGACTAAGGAAATTGCATGGCCATGCTGAGATGCTTTTATGACGTCTGTTCCTATTAGTCAGACTTGATAAATCAGTGAATGACTTAATGGATACAAGCTGGATTTTATTAATCCCTTGCATTAAGTCTAGACATTGAGACAAAGGGATACAGTTACACGGAGTCTGAGTCGTGGAAAGGTTTTGACGGTGCAAACGTCTTAACTTATAATCTGGGGGCAACAATGTGTTGCTAGATACCGCTTATTGCTTATAGTGTTGGTGCAGAGCCAATACTGTGGCCAGCTTTATAAGTGCCTATACGGGTCACACACTTTGAACAATTTAAGGAGTAGGATTAAACAATGGGATAATAAGTAATTTGTATATTTGTAAAAAAAATAGTAAAGTAAAATATTTTGGAATATAATATTATATATATAAATATTCGGTTATATATATTATATATATGTACCGATTAATGTATATATATTATACGTTGAATATTTTATTTTGGTTTGTCATTTTAATTATGAAAATAACTATTTTGACATAAACTATTTGAAGTATAGTTTATACTTGTTTCAAAATGATATTGGTATTTTTATTTGATTCAAAATTAATTTTTATATTAATTTTTGGTGTCAAATAAAATACACTTTGAACATTTAAGTGGAGAAGAATTTTGAAAATCCTTCTCATATCATTCATTCGGCTATGATGAGATTGTGAAGAATAAAATTTCATTCTTTGATTACTTAGTGGAGTTAATTGATTTGTCATTTAGCTAATGACAAAAATTAATCTTTGTTTTCTATATATGCACCTCACGCACCATTAAAACAAGTGGAGAAGAAAATCATCCAATTTGCTTTTGAGTTTCGGGCATTACACTTTAGTGAGAGAAAATATATTATTGTGTTCATTAATATCATTTGTGTATAGAAAATATCTATAATATTTTCTAAATATTATTAGAAATATTTTCTATAGAAATATACAAGATTATTATTATCCCAAATTTTAATCTTTATATTTTATACTACTAGAATCTTTACTAGCATAAAGATTGTGGTAGACTCCGGCGTTGTTCGTGTGTCAAAGTTGGAGGCCGGACGCTTGAACGGTTACGTTTGCACTTTCAACGCTCTTCCTACGACTTCTTCGTTTTTTCCGCTTACGGAGAAAGGTAAAAATTTCTTACTACTATATGTTTTAGTACGTGATTCTAGGCAAGATAATCATGTTAGGATGTTAAAATTTTTATATTCCGCTGCCTATCCTTGCATGGTTACCTTTCACTTTCCCCATCAGTTTGGTTAGAGGGGTGGCTAAAGTACCGAAGTCCTTAACAAACTTACGGTAATAACCAGCTAGACCGAGAAAACCACGAACTCCTTTTGCATTCCTAGGGACAAGCCATTCCAACACAATAGTGATTTTGGATGGGTCCACAACTACCCCATCCTCGGAGATAATATGTCCAAGATAAGCAACCTGTGTAACTCCAAAGGCGCACTTGGACTCTTTGACAAATAACTTGTTAGCAGACAATATGTGTAGAACCTTAAGGAGATGATCAACGTGACCTTGAATAAACAAGGATATCATAAAAAAACAAGATGAACTTACGTAGAAAAGGCCGAAACAAGTCATTCATGAGACTTTGGAAGGTGGCAGGAGCGTTGGTTACGCCGAACGACATGACCGTAAACTCATAATGACCCTCATGAGTTCGAAAGGCAGTCTTGGGTATGTCATCTTCTTGAACACGAATCTGGTGGTAGCCTGATCGTAGATCCAATTTCGAGAAAACCCGAGCGCCTCTTAGTTCATCAAGCAACTCATCGATAATCGGAATCGGGTACTTATCCTTGATCGTCAGGTCATTCAATGCCCGATAATCCACAAAAAACCTCCACGACCCATCATGTTTTTTAACGAGTAAACGGGAGAAGAAAATGGGCTGTGGCTAGGGCGAATCACACCTGACTGCAACATCTCCTGGACCATCTTTTCCATCTCTTCTTTTTGGTAGTATGGGTACCTATATGGGCGGACGCTAACTGGTCCAGCTTCCGGTTTTAATGTGATGTTGTGATCACAGGAACGGTGTGGTGGTAGTGTGGAGGGAGGCTTAAACACCCCTTCGAATTCTACCAACAATTGTTGAAGTTCTCGGTTCTCTATGGATTGGTCCATTTGAGTGACTTCTTTGCTGAATCCAATTTGGAAAAGATAACCCATGCCTTGGAGCTGATTCAACTCCTTCTCTGTCAAAGCATCCGTTAAATGTCCGAGATGTTGTCTGGTCCCCTCTAACAAATAAGTGGAATCTCATATTTTGAACCAAAGAGTGAGACGCTGGTAGTCCAGTTCGACAGGACCTAGTGTCTTTAACCATTGGGCTCCAAGCACCACTTGACATGCTGCTACCGGAAGGACGTAATAGTCAGTCGTAATAGTGTATCCTTGGACGGTCAATGTGAGGCCTCGAACATGACCGACACACGAGAGTCGCTCTCGATTACCCACCATAACCTCGAACCTTGCTTCTCGATTGACCATGAGTCCAAACTTCTTGACTAATGATTGGTTAATAAAATCATGTGTGCTACCTCCATCCACGAGGACAATCACCTCTGTGTTTCCGATTTTTCCTAGAAGACGGATGGTTTGTGGATGGACAGTTCCAGTAATAGCATGGAATGAAACTTCAAGAGTAGAAACTGGTTGTATTATCTCATATTTTGAGTCTGGGGTTTCAACGTTCACATTGTTCTCTACTTCACAAATCATGAAAAGTTGAGGTTTAGCACAACGATGACCTAGGAAAAACTTCTCGTCATAGTAGTAACATAAGCCTTGATCCCTTCGTGCTTTAGCTTCGGCGCTAGTGATACGCCTGACTTGGGTTTGTGCAGGGTCGGTAGGGTTAACATGGGGGCGGTTAATCGGATGAGGGCCTAACAGCCCAGGGCTGGATGGGGTCGTAAGGGCGGTAGGGTTAGTAGAATTGAAGCGATTCGAGGGTGGGGCCTTTTGTGGATATTAATCTTTTCCTCAATCAAACGAGCCAGACCTATTGTCTCCGGAAGGTTTTCTGGGTTTTTTAAGCTTAACCTCATACCGTATATCCTCCTTCAATCCGGCGACATAACACCCGATTAAATAGGATTCTAGTAGGCCATCGATGCGGTTGGATAACTGTTCTAACAATTCTGTATAGGCTGCCACTGTCGTCGTCTGCTTCAAGTGCGAAAGGGACTCCGATGGGTCGTCAAAGTCTGTAGGTCCAAAACGTTGCAGCACCGCCCAGGTGAGTTCGCTCCACGTTAAAGGTCCTTTCAATTTTGTGAACCACCGGTACCATTGGAGAGCGATCCCTTCCATGTGGAAGGAGGCCAATGAAACTTGTTGATCTGCGGAAATCTTCGCAAAGTCAAAATATTGCTCGGAAAAATACACCAACCAATTGGGTCAGTTCCGTCAAACTCTGGAAAGAGATGCTTCGTCTGTGGTTGAGTGATACCACGGGATGAATTGTTGCTGGAGGAGGCAGATGAGTTGGCAGAATGGGTCTCCAGGGATTGAACCTTGGAAATGAGGGATTGGATAGTTTCTTGCTCGCGGGTCATGAATGCCTGCATATCTTGGCAAAATTTAGCATTCGTTTGATTGCGAGTCTCCATAGAATCGACTGTCTCTGATACTGATAGATATCAATATCCAGTCAGAAAATAAAGAGGGAAGGAAAGAACCAAGAGAGAAAGATGGGGCAATTTTCTGATATATTTCATTGATTAAAACAAGGAACAACAGACTTCTTAAATATGCAGACTTCTAACAATAATGACCTAAAATCATGCAGGCAGTTGCCCACTTCTTGACTCCACTACTTGTGCACTTCTTGACTCCAAGTACTATTTGTGCAACAACACAAGAAAAAGTCAAACTACAAAAGAAATGTTCGTACTAACACACTGTAACAACAACAATTAAAACAATAATCATTCCCCCATGTATGCAATGAGTGCGCCTAAGTTCCCACGCACACATCAATCCTCCAACAGCGATGTTGGATGTTAGACATTGTTATTGAGCCAAGGTTGGGTTTCTAGAAACATCTAGAACAACGATGTAGACTACCCTACATCGCTCTCCAACCTAAGCCAAAAAGAAATGCCTTGGCAGAAATTTTTTGGACAGCGCTATTGACAAGCAACAGCGATGTCAAGCCAATTTCTCAACCTTTAAAGTCAAGCCTAAACAACGATGTTCAAGTAATGAACATCGATGTAGGCACCTGACCGTTGGAAGGAATTTATGGATAAAACTTTCCTTGTTTGGAAGTCAACAGCCAAAACAACGATATAGTGGTTTTGGACATCGCTGTTGGCTTGACCGTTGCTTCCCAATTTTCAAAAACTAAGCCTAGAACAGCGATGTCAAAGCCATGGACAGCATTGTCTCGGTGATTTTTAGCAGATCCAATTTTAATCAAATCCCACAAATTATGCCGATCATCCCCATTTAACTCCTACCCGTTGGAGCCTATTTTTCTACTATAAAATGGGGTATTTGGGTCTGCTTTACGCATCACATTACTTCACAACTCTTATTCTTTCATTGCATAACATTCATACATTATTCATAGCTTTTCGAGAGCCATTTTTGTGAAGTTCGTGTTGTGTTCTTGAGCGTTCTTAGTTACTCATCATCCACTCTAAAAGAGAGTATTGTTCTTGAGTGATTTAGTATTCTTAGACACTTGATAAGAGAAAGTATTTCTCTTGAGTAGTTTGAAGGAAGGATTTTTTCCTTCAAAGGTTCATTGAGGTTCGTGTGACTCGAACTCTCAAGTTGTACGGGTTTGTTAAGCACCGTTAAGCTTAACGTTGATAGTTTAGGTCGAGAAAGTCTCTCGAGAGGCTGGACTAGCCACAAGTTGTGGTGAACCAGGGTATAAACGGTGTGCCTCTTCCCTGCTCTTACTTTACGCTTTTAATTTTTTATTCCTGCGTCATTTTCGTTTCAAATGCTATTCACCCCCCCCCTCTAGCGTTGGGACGTTAATCTAACAGCTGTTTGAACGGCTTCTTCTCTTTCTCATTCTTGGCGTTTGAGCATTTTGGCTTGATATGCCCAATTCCTCCACACCCATTTGGGTGGTCCTCCTTGCTTCTTGCTCTTCTGTTCATACTCCTTCCGCATGAACTTGTAGAATTTCTTGATAATGAGCTCGAACTTGTTGTCTTCGTTGCTCGATTCCTCTATGGCAGGTTCTTGGCTTGTGGAAGCCTTGAGTGCAATTCCCTTCTTCTTTTGTTCACCTAAAGAGGGCAAAAGAATGGTAGACTCATAGGTTTTGAGGTTACCTCTAAGCGCGTCGATGGTGACGTTGGTGATGCCGATGGATTCTTGGATGGCATCGGCTTTGGAGCCCCATTCCGATGTGAGACTCCGCAGGATTTTTCTTACAAGCTCCTTGTCCGTGTACGTCTTTTTGAGAGCGTGGAGGTCAATGACGATTTTTGAGAGTCGATCAAACATCTCATCGATTTTCTCATTCTCCTTCATATGAAACAACTCATATTCATGGGTTAGAAAATCTATTTTAGCTTCTCGGACTTGATCCGTACCTTCATAGGTGATTTCTAGCTTGTCCCACATTTCCTTGGCGGTGGAACAACAAGAAATCTTCCGGTAGTCATCCAGGTTTATGGCACAATAGATGATGTTGATGGCCTATGCATTGTTCTCGACTTTGTTGATGTCTTGCGCATCATACTCATCCTCGGTTTTAGGGACGTTGGTTTCCCCGACCTTCTTCATGGGCACATCTTCGCCGTTCTTGATGATTCTCCACAGGAGAAAGTTGGTGGATTGGATGTAAATCCTCATCCGCTCCTTCCAATATGTGTAGTTCGTTCCACCAAACAACAGAGGCCTCGTGGTGGATTGTCCTTCGCCTAAACCTGCGTATAAGTTTTGAGTAAAAGCCATTGATCATTTCTCTAAAACGGTTAAGTCTTTCAGAGAGTATGGCTCCGATGCCAATTGTTAGAATATAGGCCCGACGCTAGAGAGGGGGGTGAATTGTTGAATATAAGTGAGCCCTAGAGGCCAACTTATGATTCCATATCTATATTATATCAAGAACAGTAGGCCCTAAAGATTGTTTAAGTCGTCTCGTGTGATTTAAACATAGCTTTAGTCCATAGAGTAGGCGCTCTAGTAACATAGATGAGAACTACGACGTTCTAATTATGAGGCTGTTACAAAGATAGAGGCTACGTCTAAAATATCCTTAGTCGAATATTATGACAATACGGACATCATAATATATCAAGACTAATACGTATGAGATGAGATAGCTGCGTCTCATAGGTTATAGATAAAGTGTTATCTGAATCTATACGTAGGCAACCATATTGGATATGTTGCTGGATTGACCCGCTATGAGAATAATATATGGGTTTGAGTTAAAGTGTTAATATTATTCTCATGCGACCATTAGTATAACTATCCTTTGACTTGAAGTCANACAACGTCGCCAAAGCAGCCATCTTCAAGACACTTGATCCCATCACCTTCTCCAAAATCAAGCATCTCAAGACTGCCATGGAGATATGGCAAGGTCTTGGGAAGCTATGTGAGAGATCATAGGACTTGAGAAAGCAGAAGATAGAAGTCCTGCTTGAGAAGTTCAAAGGCTTCAAAATGCTTCCCGGAGAATCATTTGATATGTTGGATGAAAGATTCCACAAAATCTTGAATGATCTTGCCTCACTTAACCACGTTCTTTCTCCCAAAGAAAAGAATGTAAGGTTGCTGAGATCTCTTCCAACTGAGTGGTACACCAAAGCCACAGCCATGGAAGAAGGAAGAAACCTGGAAAACAACACTGTCCAAGGTCTCCTTGATGAGCTCAGAACCTATGAGCACGAGCTGAAGAAGAAGAAGGAAGAACAAGTCACTCCTTTCCCCACGACACTGATGACAACTCCAAGAGTCCCATCAAGTGAAGGGACATGCCCAAGAAGCTGTGACACACCTTCCTCCAGCCAGCCGTCAAGCTCAAAAATGGAGAACTACGATGAGGAATTTGCCATGATGGTCAAGCAATTCCGGAAGTTCAAGAAGTTCTTCAAGAAGGCTAACTCAGTCAGAAGGCCAACCAAGGGAAAGCCACAAGTAAGTGACTCCCCTCCTGAATCTTATTTGTGTTATAACTGCAGGAAGCCTGGCCACTGGAAGTCAGCATGCCCGTACCCAAAGGTGGAAAAGTACGGAGAAAGAGAAAGGAACGAGAAGAAAAAGAAGGCAATGGTTGCTGCTGAAAGTGATGAGTCATCCAGCTCAAGCTCGGATGAAGAAGCCCTCGTCTGCATGGAACGCAGAGTTGAAAAGTCCAACCATGAGGATAGGTGGACTATGTCAGAAGATGACACTCTCTGCCTAATGGCTAAAGATGATGCTGATCAAGAGGTAACTTCACAAACCTCCTGCTCATCTTCTTATGAAAGCATACCAACTTCTGAAAATCTTTTTGACCAGTTCAAAAAGATGATGGTAGATTTTGAAGAAATAAATCTCAAACATTCCTCCTTAACAGAGGAGAACAAACTATTGAGTGGAGAGAATCTCAAGTTGACTGAAGGACGGAAAAGTCAACAGAATGAGATCACTCAACTCAAAACTGAAAATGAATCTCTCTCTGAAAAGGTAAAATCCCTTAACAAAGAGCTAGGGATACTTAAGTCCAAAGAAGCAGTGGATAAGCTTCTTGAAACGACCAAACATAAGGGTCGTGAAGGACTTGGGTTTGACCCCTCCAGTTCCAAAAGGAAAGGGAGAACAACTTTCATCCCTCCTAAACCTACTGCTAAACCAAATAAGCAGAAAGGAAAGGAAAAGGAGAAACCAACAAAAGTTCCCAAAAAGGTAGTCCCTCCTAAGAACTATAGGAAGCTGGACAGACCTCAAAGAGGAAATAGTTTCAGAAGAAAACCTTCTAACCCCCATTATACACGAGGCTATACTCATTATGGGGTAGATAGGAGTTTTCCAAGAAATTCTGAGTGGAGAACTATGCCAAGATATAGTCATCCTCCACCCCACAAATTATTTGTGCCACCTAAGTATGCTTATAACCGACACAGGCCACACTATGCACAACCTAGACAAAATCATAGGTCTTATCAACCTAGGTTTGCTAGGAGGAAACAGGAAATTGCACCTCCTGCACGTAGGAAGTTTTATGCCTACAACTATGACTACAATCCCAACAAGTTTAGAGCTGCAAGGAAAATTCCCTGCAACTTCAAACTTGATGTAGGGACACACACCATTAACTACTCCGGACCCAAACTTAATTGGGTACCAAAATCTTCCTCCTCCTAATGCAGGAAGCCGCTAAGTACCCAGGTGTCTGGTACTTAGACAGTGGCTGTTCAAGACACATGACGGGTGATGCGAGCCTTTTGAGCAATCTAATTCCCTATGATGGTCCAAGAGTTACTTTTGGAGGAAGCAATGATTTTGG